AGACCTTGAAACGTCTTCCTTATCCACCACAAGGGCTCAGCTTGAAGGAATACCTTTCTGGGACTTCCAGTCTCAGTTCCCACCCTCTGCTGCTGATTTTCACTCACTGGATTCTCCACAGCACTGTACTATGCAAATATATACAACCCAAGGCACATTTTGGAATAAATCAATCTAAATTAAAATAATGAACAAAAAGTACAGAAACAGATCAGGCAGTGAAGCCATTTCTCTTTCTTTCCCCCTGTGTCTCTCTTTTTTCTCTAAGAAAGCTTCTTTTTTTTCTCTACATTTTTTTTTTTTTTTTTTTTTTTTTTTTTTTTTGGGTGTTTTTTTTTTTTTTTTTTTTTTTTTTTTTTGGTGAGGGGTGGGAAGAAGCAGACTGGCTTTTAATTTTTTAAGCAATCTCAACAAACAGAAGCTGTCTGTTGCTATTCAGCAAAACCCACCAAGCAATGTTGGTAGCTTGGCATCAATTCTTGGCATGTCTCTTTTCCTTAAGTTGCTGTTTTTGTCTACATTCATACTAACTCCTTTTGGAAGACACTATCATCACCTCTGACTTTGCTATTACTCACTTTAAACCACGCAGCCAAAATAAGATACAGTGCCATCCCCTGCCTTGTACCTATGAAATAGCACAAAGCAATTACTGTGATGCTGGCTGCTTGCCCTCACCCTGCCTTGTTCTCCATGTTCCCTTGGCCTGAAGGCCCCACAGGCTTGGCACCCAGTTCAGTCCCAGCCCTCAGTGCCTGCAGCACTCGCAGGGACTGACACTGACCCTGAGCAGCAAGAGAAGCTTGGTCTGTCTGAGCATCCATCCTGCAGGGCCAATCCCTTCTGTACTCTCCAAATGGACACTGAGCTCTTTGGAAAATCTGGGTGGATACCACCCATGAGAAGCAAGGAGAGCCATGAGTTGTGCTTCCCACCCAGAGCCATGGCCATGATCAGCTGCCAGTGCCAGGGCTCAGGCAGTTTTCAGGGAAGTGAGGTGTGCCACACGTCACTGTGGAGTGACCAGTACAGCTGAACTATGTCCCTTGAATGTCTTAGGATTTATGGGAATACCAGACTTGACATGGTTCCAAATACACCCTCCTGTGCTTGGTCCCTATGACCATTATTTTTTTCTGGTCATTATTTTTTCTCTGTTTCTTTGTTGGGATCACAAAGATACAAGATTGTCTATTTTGGCCTGTCTATGCTGTGGCTTCCCTAGCTCTGCCAACCAGTTTGTTTCACAAGCCTCAGTGCCTGGATTTTCACTGACCCTTTTCTGGAGCCCAAATGAGAAAGCACCCTCAGGCCTCAGTGAAGATGCCTCCAGAGGTGGATGGGTTTTTCAGCTGGTCACATCACACTGGCAGGGCTGACTGCCTAGTCAGCAAACCTCCATAAAATGTTAACCCTTTACAGCCTGTAGTCTCTGTTGTAATCCCCCTTGCTTCTCTCCTTAGCTTTGGTGGCTTCAGAGGTCCACCCTTCTGCCAAAGCAGACCCTGCTGACTCGAGAGCAGCCGGCTCAGCAGAACCGGCAGTGCCACGCACTGCTGAAAGCAAGAGGGGAGCAGAGATGGGTGGGAGGTGGTCATTGCTACAGAGGAGCTCTCTTCTACACAGCTAGGACACCCAGAGAGAGGAAAGAGGACTCAGAGGGTATTAGAAAGAAAGCTGCTCTCTGTTTCCCACTCTGGCCATCAGACCCAAATGAACACCTCTTTTCTCCCTTCCCCCAGCTCCCACCCACCTGATGAAGGCATTAGTGACAGTACAGGCTACACAGACTACAGCTAAATGGAGACTATCTACGATCTACAGTCACACAGGGTCATTCTCCGATCAGTGCACATTTTGGCAGAAAGGCAGGACTCCTCATACTCCTTTTCCCTCCCACTCCACTAGTTGCTAACACGCCACTGCTATAAATCTTGTGTCAACCTATTGATGGCTGTGACTTTGTCTTATCAGGCCCCAAAGATGGACATACTTGTTGCCCTGTGGGCAGCTCTGGATGTGATGCTTTCTGAAACACCACATCCCCCTTGTGTAGCTCCCAGGGCATCAAGCTAGCCACACTGAGAAAGCCCCTACTTAGCCTCTGGCAAGCTCTCATCACAAAACTCCTGTGAGGAAGACTCACAGGCTTTGAAGCCCATCAGTCTGGCCAAGCCATCCTGATGTGGACACTAGGTGCTAATCAAAGCAAAGGAGTTCATGTTCAAAGGGCTGAGGACGAGGGACAATGAAGGAAAAAGATGGAGCTAGTGCCATATTTATGACAGGTCCCTTTGAGGTTCAACAGTAGCCATGCTTGCCCTTCCATTGGCAGATGTGGTGTGGAATGAACAAATTCTCTTTTTCCAGAAGAAAAATCCTTTTGAAAAGGCACCTGGTGATGCAGTAAGGCCCCTGCTTGGTGACAGCCAGGTCTTGTGCCAGCCCATTATAACATGATGTTACAATGCAGACAGAAAGATGTGATGATGTGGCATCATCCCAGAAGACATTTCAAGGCATTTTGAGTGCCAGGCTGCAAAATCAGGAGAGCTGGAAAATTTATCAAGGACAGCTCAGTTGAGAGCTGAATCAGCTGGGCTCCACCAGCATTTTAGGAAAGTGTCTCATCAAATTCAAGTCCCATTTGTTTAGTTGAATGGGCTGCTTCTGAGTCTTCAGCTTGCCTGAAAGCAAGATGTTTCCACAGCAGCTAGCTAATGATAGCAGTGCTTAGCAGGACCAGAGCGCTCTTCGTCTCAAATCACCTTCCTTTTAAATTAATGCTCAAAACCCCACAGGGCAGGGAAGTGTTACTGAGGATTAACAGAAATGAAAATTGAGGGAGAAAGAGGAAGAAGGCTGTGATTCTGGTCATTGAGGAACAGCTTAATTGAGGGCTGAGGACTACTGTTCAGAACATCAACTCATAGGAAGAAAAAGGTCTAAAAAAATTCGATGCTCAAGGTTTCTTTGAAGGTGAGCAGCAAAGTAAAAGTAAATGTGAAAAGCACCAGCAACTGTGCTGAAGTCCCTCAACAAAGAAGCTGGTAAGGGCTGTCAGAAAACAAGTGAGGCCCAGAGTATGTAAACTCTGCCTTCCCCCTCTGCAAAATCCTCTTGGTGTGTCCTGGGTAACTGGAGATACACCAGCATTTGCACCACAAATTCTTGGAGACTCCTCACAGGAGTGATGGCACACCAGGATGTCCTTCAAGACCACCTCAGGAGACTGGGGAGCAGTAAAAATATAACAGCTTCAGGCACAGGAGGGGAAAGTCTTTTAAAGGATCAACTAAAGCTGTGCAGGATGGCTTTGGCAAGTTGATTAGGAGGTGTATTTGTAATGGGAATCCTGGCCTTGCTCACTCACAGATTTTGCTTTATCATTTAGCTTAATGGGCTCCTAATTCAAAACCAGGTGTAAACAGGGATGGCTATGAAAAAAATTAACATTGCCTGCCTGTGGAATTTAAGGATATATAATAAAAATAATCATAAAACCAAAGAGCCCTGGGTTTTTCATCAGACAAAAATATTTGTCATTGAAAAATTCTGCTTAGAAAAAAAAGAACACTTAAAATTGGAAAACTCCTCAAAACCTTACATCCAAAACAGCCTCAGCAACTTTAATTTAATATCCAAGCACAAGTTTCATTTGCAATACATAAGATAATGGTGTTTAATTGGATTTATTTTTCCACAGTAGGTTCCCAATGGCCTACTTTACTCCTTTTCTCAGCTCCTTGAATGTTATTTACAAATCACTCTCTGGGATTTAATTTTAATGGTAGCTTGATTTCTACCTCCCCCCTTCCCTTTTTTTTTTTTTAAGGTACTTTTCTTTAATTGTATTTGTGGATTTGCCTTTTAAATAGGCAATTGTGACTACATCCTGAGCCTGAATAAGTTGCCAAGAGCAGAGCTTGATTTGAAAACAGCAAAGTAGTTAAACGGAGCATGTGTAACACCCAGCATTTATTGTTCTTTTCATGGGAGTACCTGCAGGTGCTTTGTTCAAGCAGGTGCTCTTTTGCAAAACAACATGGATTCCTAATAACACTCTATCCCAAAGCTCTGTGCAGACATTAACAATTTAGGTCTCTGAGCAGCCCATAAGTTGAGTGCATCCTCCTCATATGGCAGCAAAACAAAGATACTGAGGAGCTGTAGGCCAAGATTTTTTCAGTGAACACAGGGACTTGCTGCCTTACTGTTGATTTAGTTTCAAACACCACTTTCAAATGCTGTAGCCTGCTTTCTGGACATGTTTGTTGTCTGTGCTTTTTCAGAATGAAAAGCTCACAACCAAGTCCCAAATCTTATATGGATGTTGGGACCATGCTGTCTGCACCCAAAGCAGGAGTGGGCTACACAGAGACAGAAAAAAACCAAACAGGTCCTGTTTTTCCTTCATATCTTCTTCCCTTTTGGAATACAGCAGACAGTAACACCTCACCATGTGTCTCTTTTCATGCTTTCTGCCTCAGATGCAGGATTATAAAAGCATGAGAAAACAAAGTGTTTCACGGTGGATGATAAGATGCTCAACTAGAGTGAAAAAAACTGGCAGTGTTTTAATTTTTAGTTTTCCACTTGTTCTTTCCACTGTCTCTGCAAAATTTTGGGTCTGCTTTTGATCCAAATCTGAACAAGTGGGCAAAGACAGCTTAGGGTGGGAATGTGTTTTAGAAGGAGGTCTGCAGGGAGATTGAACCTCACTAAAGACTGTCCACACCTGGGTGACAACTTGGTGTCATGGCTCACAGCTTGGTTAAAGGTTGTTGTTATTCAGTTGATTGGTTTTTTGAAGAGGGAGAGGGAAAGAGAAGGATGAGGAAGGTGAGCAGAAAAGACAAAATGACACATAAATGAGAAGGGAAAGCCCTTATTTTCCTGCATTTCTGAGTTGTTTTGCCCATACCTAGCTCTGAGCATTTGTCAGGATGACGGAGAATGACCCGGCTAAAGAGCTACTTCAACATAAAACACATACTGACCTGGAAAAGGATTGGGGAGTGTGGGTAAAACTCGTTCTAAGGGGGGAAAAAAAACAATAAGCAACATGCAGGAGAAAAGGACAAGCCACTTTTCACACCAAGCAAGCAGCAGATACAAACCTGATGGAGTTGTCCATCCCCAAATTAAATGAACTCGAGTAAGTTTCATATACAGAGCATTTTGCTAGCAACATGCCTAACACACATCAGCATCCCCTGGGAGTGGGAGTCAGAGGGAACTGATTTGAAAAACTAAACAAATAATAGCCAAACAGCAAGAGGGATTAAGCACCTGCAGTGAAGGTAATTGGAGTTGATGGTCCATGTCTTCCCTCTGACTTTCAAGACCACTCATGTCATCACTCTACAGCTCCTCTTAGCTACACCTCTGTCTCGAAGCTAGTCTTGGCAGAGAGGTGAGCTGTGGAAGTCCTCCATGGGTAGTTGTTGCCTCCCCAGAACCTTCTCCAAAATGGATTTCTTGCCAAGGACAGCTCTCCTGGGGATTTGTGCATGGGAGAAGTCACACTGGCAAATCCTCAAGAGTATTCTATTCTGCTTCTTTAGTTTTTGTCCTCTGAGAGGGACAGAGTTTTTGCAGACTCATCATCTTCCAGGTGTAGGCAGAGCCTGCTATCTTGTTTATAGGGTTTTTATAATGTGTCCTCCTTATGCGTCACAGCAGGACTTTGATATACGTCACTGCTGGCTTCACGGTTTGCTTCTTCCACAAAGGATCCCAAAAGAATTGCACAGATACTGAGGGAAACCAGTATCAGAGACCTCTGTGTGAGTAGCGTTGATTCTGCTTCACAGATGGTACAGGTGATGCAAAGAGCAAGTAAGCAAGTAAGCAATTTGCCCAAGGTCAAATGCTGAATTGTTGGCAGAGCCAGACACAAAACCAAGAATACAAGGTCCTCAGGCTTGACTATTGTCACCGGGTTTCCTTTCTTTGCCTTCAGAGTTTGCTGGATGCCTTGTACTGACTGAGACAAGCTCCTACCCGTGGACTGATCCATAGGTAGACATTTAGCTGCAATAGCTCATAGGCCTGGGGCAATGAGTTATCTCCTGGCTTACCTCTAAGATCACTGCTGATGGACACAGAGCTTGGCAGGATAAATCAGTAGGCCACTAATACTCTCGGATCACCTAGGCCCAGCTATTTGGAGGTCTATGCTGTTTGTACAGTATCCTTGGTGCAAGGAGTGAGTTTGTGTCTTGCTGGAGCTCATGAGGATTGAGCAGGTCAGACCCATCCCTATGACACTGGCGGACCTCCTGCCCTCACAGTGGTAATGGAGTTGTTTGAATCCACAGCAGGCACAGCGGAGATCAAATACAAGTCTAGACTGGATCTCTCTGTTTATGTAGCAACAGGGGACTATTGTTCTGCGAAAGCAGGCTGTTTGTGCTGACAAGACTTCCTTGTTATTTAGTTTAGTTAAATAACTCAACTCCCCTTTACCTTCTTCCTGCACAGCAGGCTGCAGGCTGCACAGCATAAGCAGTTAAAGCAAAGCACTACAGCCTCATTATCATGCTGCTTTCTATTCAAGGACTCTGTCTCTGTTCCCCTCTCCCACTGTGTGCTGCTTTTATTGCTCCACCCTGGCTCATTAGCAGTGTCTCAGCCTTGCCCCCTCTGACTGCCAGCCCAAACCACTTTCCTCCCTCCTGAGTCTCCCCGTTATTGACAGCCTTGAGGAAAACAGGGGGTGTGCACTAAGAGCCACTAAGGGATTTTGGCCACAGTTGAGGTTCCAAACACCAGCAGCCACCACTGTAACCAAATGCTCAGGTCACAACAAAGCATGGGCAGAGTGGAAGGAGGGGTATCAGTGTATGCACACTTGTGGCAGGATGCTAACAAATAAAGACAAGTTAGAGGCTAATACCAGCTTTTAGGAACATGCCTTGCTGCAAACAAAACTGTTGTGCTCAGCCTGAAGCTTCTTGAGTTGGCACTGTCTTGCCAGCTTCTGCTTCACCTCCGCGCTTGCTGATTCCCCAAAGGGTGCAGAGGATGCAGCAGGGGACCTGCTGATGTGGCAGTCTCCTATAATTGAGCCAATTGAGCCAGCAGGATGGCATCAGGGTGTGCTGCTATCTCCTGTTTCAGCCTATGGGATGAGCTAGCTCGGCAGGAGGCAGAAGGCAACTGATTTGGAAAAGCATTTCTTTCTTTTATCTGTTTTGCTAGAATGTACCAGGTGCTGCACCTCCTTGTGTGTGCCTGTGGAGGGGTGTGTGGGTTTGCTTCTGCATCTGAAGGTGGAGGTGCATGCCTATGTATTCATACTCACCTACACATAAACCTATGTATCTGTGTTCCTCCAGCAAATGTGTATCTGCTATGTGCTTATATATATATATATATATATATATATATATATATATATATATATATGTGTGTACACATACATACACGCAATTCTGTGTAGCATGTGTTAAGATATAAATTGTGACTTTCACTCATAATGCTTTTCATAATACTGCTAGATGAGTAAAACAAAAAGAAAACATGTTCCCTATCTCCTAATACACTTGGAGGAAGAACCCTTTTGCTTCAGTTGTGTCACTGCTTTTTGCCTCTGTTGGTCTGTGATGGCAGCCCTAGCTTTGCCTCTCTGTCAGGTGATTTTCACAGAGATGTGTATTACTGCCCCTTTTCTTGTGCTTAGAGGTAAACACCTTGCTCCCAGGCTCTGCAGAGCTGAATCAACCTACTGGCTCACCAGAGCTGCCAGACATGGTCCTGCCTCCCAGCTCCTCACACCCACAGATGTGTGATAGAGCTTCCTCTCTTGCGTGGGCTTTGGTGCCTCTTGAGCCCAGCCATCAACTAGTTCAGCTCAGTACAGCGAAAGAAAACATTTGGGGAATTTTAGGGAGATGAGCAGTAAAGCTCATTTACCTATTCACTGGTTTGGCAGGTTGGACAACCTCAGTGGGTTGTCCACTGAGTGGCAGAATATGAGAAACAACAAAAACATGTGGCAGAGAGCAGGATGAGCAAAAGGGCTGGGGAACAAGGAATGTCAGCAAGCTATTAGATCAGTTGTATCATCAAACTGTACCTAAGTACCCTCTCTACAAACATACTCCAAATTTGCTGTTGGAGACAGTTTCCTGGGCAAGTTAAACCTTTGGTAGGGCCATATTTATGTTGTTGTAAACTCAGTCTCCAGGAGTGAGGGGTAAAATCTCTCCACCTACATCAGGCAATCCTACTGCTACATCCTTTAAGGAAGATCACTAGGTATCTATTCATGAAGCTCAAGGAGGCTGCTTTTGTATTTTAATGCATCTTCTATCTATGACATTGACATCTAAGGCACTCAGTCTCTCTGAGAGTTTTTCAATGCTGACTGAGATTTCATGAAATGGTAGCCACCAATTTTTCTCTATTGCTAAACTCTTCTTTCACATCATTTCGCTGGCTCCCTGTCTGCCCTCCACCTCAGACAGAGCTGCCAGTAGCTCATTATTAACTGTCTGGTTGTTTCTTCACTCCTTGCTGCCATTCTTTTTTGTGCTGCAATGGGACGCTGAGGAACCATTGCTGTACTTACCTCCCTGGTGGGATGTTGCTATACAGTGAGCTTGTTCTCTGTTTAAAAAGGAAATAAGATCTCTGATTCCAGGGATGAAAAACACTCCCAAGTATCTGAGTATCTTCAGTACCTTGCAAAAACTTGGCACTATATTTTTCTGTCTGGGTGTGTGGCTGGGAATGTGCATTACCTGTTATTTCAGCTGTTGTGTGATCACTACAGTATTTCTTTCATCTGAGCTTGTAGGTTTTTTTCAGCAGCTTTCTTTATCTTTATGAAGCTGGATTCCCTTCACTCATTTCCCCCCTGATTTCTTAACCTTCAAAATAGCAGCTGTAGTCTGCCTGAATTTATTTTTTTTCTCTCTCTTTCCTTCTTCTGCACTAACTAGAACATAGATTTCCTGAAACAATATGAAGCAATTGTACAGTGAAAAAGTAGGGATTAACCAAGCAATAAAAACAAATTAGAAAGACTTCACTAAAAATCATCAAATCTCTCTCAGCTCCTGCACTTCCATCCTCCTGGCTCTTGTGAAGTGCTCTAGTGTCCTCCAGTATAAACAAGCCTTGAATTTCTACAAAATGATAAACCAAATCCAAAACTTGAAAGAAAGTGTTCTTACACATCAAAAAGGGGCTAAAATAGGATCCCCACTGTTGCAAATAATCTTTAAGAGCTGCTACATTTCCTCATGGAACAGCAACTTTGCAAGGTTTCCCTGGGTCTCTCACTGGTTCTGCCACTCATTTTATGACCATGGGTAAACCACTTCTTCACTCTGTACCTTAACTTCCTACTGCAAAATGGTGCTAACACCACTCACCCATTTCTAAATGACTTGGGATATTAAAATATTCATTGCTAGCAAATCCTTTGAGATCCTTTGAGGTGAAGTTCTGAAGTCATGCAAAATGCTTCTCTAGCAAAATAACCCCCCCAGCTAAAATCATATGTGCATATATACATTATTGAATTTCATCTTGTATTTTGTTTCAATGATGCATTTCAGCTCATCTGTGTAACAGGAACCAACAGAGAGGGCCAAATTTAGAATTCAGTCACAAATAATGGATTCTAAACTTAGAATTATATTAATATCAGCAAGAACAAATCTGGAGTATTTGAAAATTGTGTTCCAGATTGCTGCCTGAGGATTTTTTTGACTCACATGACAGTCACAAGACCAGGGTGAAAAGACTTTCAAAGTACAAATTTGCTTTGTGTGCTGCAATGCTACAGGAAATCAAATATATGTTCTTTTATGATATCTGTTCTTTAAAAAATAACTGCCACAAAATATACCTCAACTTGCAAATATTCAAACTGCCATGAAATAAATCCAAAGGTGGTGAACAAAGAATGCCCATGGATTTATCCTTTTGCACTACATCTGTTAAAAATAACCAAACTATAACTTTGGATTTTTTGGTGAGAGCAGAAACTAGACTAAAACTAAACTGCATCCCATACTGACTGCTTTACAGAGATTTTTTTTTTTTTTTTGTTTTCTTCTGATTAAAAGGACATGCAGGTCATGACATGAGAGTTTTAATTCAATTTGAGACTGTCACAGGAACACTGCCATCAGTCACTTTTGTGCCTACGTGTTCATTTGTGTGAGTGGGTCATTTTGCTGCAGTGTATCTCTGATGCCAATATCATGTGGGCCAAGCCTAGCCCAAATTTTAGACCTGGAATTGGAAACTGCATTTTCAATACACCACAGTTTGTATGTGTGTGTGGATGGTAGGTGGGGGGCAGGGGAGGGGCTCTGTTTAGGGTCAGGTTTGAATCAGCTGCAAAATTCAGAACCAGCAGGTAACTCTGCTCTAGTGCTTGGTCTAGTCCCAGCTTCTGTCTGTATACTTACTAAGACAAATTCAGTAACTGAAAGGTATCAGAATGAGATCCAAGGAACCTTATTCCATATTTCATCTGTTGATTACCTTTTCCCCCATGGTCCCTATGGTATATCCCTTTAAAATCATTCTGTCTTTTCTCATTTCTGTCCCTTCCAGTTTCAAACCAATTTCTCTTTTTCTTGACTCTGTCACTGTTCTCCTCAGGCTCGGTGGCTAGTTCTCTCCATCTCTCTGAATTACTTGTCATTTCTCAGCTGTCATGGATCCTCTGAGTCCTGGCCTTCTGTCTACTTATTAAAGGGTCTGTCATTCTAAAGGGCTTTTTGTTTCCAGCTTTAAAACAAACACATTTTTATTATTTTAACAAAATCTGTCTTCAGTAAAGCCAGTCAATCAAAGGGCTTGACTGTAAAGCTTTCAATTTGGCTGTGTTTGTGTTCCAAGGCAAGTATGAACACTTAAGTATCTGAAGCAGAGTGCTGGAAGCCAGGTCATGGCTGGAGGTCTGAGGGGTCTGGGTTGTCAAGCAGATGCCTTCCTGAGTTTTGGCTATCATGTGCTTCCTGCACAGCTGTGTTTTTGTGAGGCTCCCTTCACCCTCTCCCATACTTACTGTAAAGGTATAGGCTGGCATTTGTGACTCCCAGCTTGTTGGCAGCCACGCAGGTGTAGTTCCCGTAGTGCTCCTCAGTGACATTGGCCACCATCAGCAGAGACTGGCTCCCCGTGCTCTTTATCTCCAGACCATTGGCGCTGTTTATCCTGGGAAGACAAGAGAAGAGGTGCCCAGTGCAATGGCAGCTGTGTATGGAGAAGGAAATCCCTCCCCAGCACGCAGCAAAGTCATTTAGTCCAGCTGGCACGTGAGGATAGAGGGAAGCAGGGAGGGGATGTGAGAGGAAAGAGACCAAAGAAGGAAGACCAAAGAAAGAGACCAAGATGGAAAACAGGAGGAGGAAATGAAAGGAACGTAGTAGTTCAGCGGGACTAAATGCCAATGGTAAAGCAGTGAAGACCCAAGAAAATGGAAAGGGAGGAAGAATTTATCCAGCACTGAGTCACTCTGGAAATGAACACATCGTGGTCAGCTGAAGGCTAGTCTGTATTTGAGCAACATATTTTTTGTGAAACACTGATTCACAATATGCGCCTGTACCAATGCTGAGTCACCCTGAACCTGGGCACCCTGTTCAGGGCTGGCTACCCTAAAATGTAGGGTAATAACCTTCTTAATGCCAGGTAAAGGCTCAGGTAGAAAGGACGGATCCTTTTTCTCTTCTCATTTATTCTCATATGCAAGTCTGAAAGGCTCAGGTTGCACAGATGAGGGAATCTCATACCTCAGCAGCTCCTTTCCCTAGAAGAATGCATCTGGAGCAGCATTACCTAAGTGAAGACTTATACTACCAACTTTTTGGTCTGTATCATGGGCTTCTAAACACACAAACAGTGTATTAATTGGGTATTGGCCCATAATTTACTTCAAGGCAAGAGCTCCATCCTTTGCACTTCCTTCAGCATCTCCAGTGCAGAGAGGAATTACTTCCTCCAGCCATGACCATGCTGGCTCTGCCAAGACTGATGGGATGCTATTTCTCAAATGGATTGTAAGGAGCAATTTGTTTGAGAGGAGCCGGGGAGGATGACAGGAACCCCTATTCAATGGACTGAAGAAGAGAGGAGGGAAGAGGCAAGCTGAAGGCCTTACCTGGTATCATCTCTGTACCACTCGAAATCAGGCGTGGGCACTGCTGATGCCTCGCACCGCAGTAAGGCTTGTCGTCCCGTGGCCGCTTCGTTGCTCTTGGACTCTGTGATGGTGGGAGGGTCTGCAGGAAGGAAACACGTGGTCAATCCACACACTTCCAGGTGGAACAAAACAGTGAAACTATGTCAGGGACACCTGCCTCATGCAAATTCTTTGGGCTACTGGAGGCTCACAGCAGCTGTTTGCTGTGGCTCTTTCCTCCCCTGCTCCTCTGCAGAACACTGCTCTTTGAACTTTCCTTAATATACAACATTAGCAGCACTCCTTACACGTGCTTCTCTTCAGCACTGCTGAATAATGTTCTGTCATAAATGCACAGGCATACACAGGCAAAGTTAAGGTTAATGATGGACTTCTGCAATTTATTTCTATTTACCTATGGATCTGTAGTTCACATGGGCTTATCAGAGAAAAGAAGATGAAGGAAAGACTTCATGAAGGGTAAAGGAAGACAGCAAAATTAAAGGAATAAAGAAGGAATTTAACACTAGCGTGAAAATTGTATTCCACACAAACTCTTTGCCTAATGCCAAAACTATATTAAGAAAGGACTGAGGGAACATGTATGAAACAGAAATGCATTAATGGCTTAAAAGAGAAGAACTTTAGCAGAAGCTGTGGGTGTGAATCTGAGAGCCAATGTTGAGACACTTCCCTTAGGTGTCCAAGGCTACAAGTCCTGATACCTTCCTGGACATGGTCCTTTGTGAAAAGCTCCAGAAGGGCTTGCTTGTGACTGCTCTGCAAAGTTTGCCCTCAGCCCAGCATGGTGCTCCCACCTCTGCTTACTGTGAAGTCTGAGTGTTGTGCCATGGGCAAAACAAACTTGGAAGATATATTGGTGTGCTCTGCCGGAGCTTGGTCTCAGTACTGGCTGGGTAGCAGGTAGGGTAGGCACTGGCATCTTCGATCCCAGCCCCATGTTCAAAATATTAAGCGATAAGCTTTACATGTTAAAAGGCAGAATTATTTCCACCTGACTGCTGAGAGGGATCAAGGAATAAGTGCCTTGTCTCTCGTCACTAATACTTGCATACCCTGAGATTACAGGGCTGCGACTCAGATAGATACTTTGCTGAGACTCAAGTTACCATGAAACACACTCTGCCATCTGTATCTGTCCCAGAACTGAAAGGCCAAATTAAAAAAAAAGAAAAAAAAAAGAAAAAAAGAAGCAAAACGTATTGTGTCAGTCAAAGAGAAGAAAATAACTCTGTCTGGAGAATGTAGGGAAGGAAATTTGTTTGTGAACACATTAGCCATCTCAATATGATCCCTTCCCTGACCTTAATCGGGATTTTATGCAGGGCTTTAGGGATATTGCAGTGCGCCCTCTAACATCATAAATATTAATAAGTTTACATAAATAGGATCCTACATTCAGAGGCTTAAGTTCATGTAAATGTTTTAATTTGAAAAGGAGGAGGGATAATAAAAGGATAGTGAAGATGATTTTTTAACCATTCTTATTAGATTTTTTTTGGTTTGCGCAGTCTATCTTCTTACTGTCTACAGCAAGACAAACCTTTCTATTTCATGAATCTGGTACAAGAGGCGAGTCACAGAATGAACGGGCATCTTTCCATGGTCCTAGAAAATGATTCCAGCAAGTGCCTTCTTCCCAGTCTGCTGGCAGGGAGCCCAGCCCCTCTCTCTGAGCAGCCCCCATATTCACCACTTGAAGAAGCTGGTGCAGTGCTCTCCCGGGAGAAGGGGCAGGTGGCAGTCCCAAACAAACCAGCCTATTGCAGAAAGCAGCTGCTCTGTGTGCAGCCCTTTGCTGCCTGTGAAGCCAGGGGTGGGTTCCCTTTAGCTGTTCTCCTCCCAGGCCTCAGTTTCCCTGTGATGTGCCAAGGCAATTACTTGGGAAGCCTGAAGGTGGTAGTGTGAGACCAAAGCAAAGTGAAATGTTTTCTCCTGCAGTCCGAGCTGACAGTGCTCCACAGCAGATGATAAGAGATGGCCAGGAAGATCCTGAGGTTGGACAGGCCCCATTTTTCAAACTTACTGTGGTTTTCCCACTTTATACTTCTTGTGGTGTTGTTTAACAAAGCAGGATGAGGAAAGATGTATGCAAATATCTAGTTTTCATTCCTCTAATAGGACTGTTTTTTTCCCTGCTTGATACTCATAGTCTCTTAGATTTATTTCCCTTTCTTTCAAAAGAAAAAATCTGTCCTTAATGAATTTTAAGTTGCTTACATTACAAATTACACTACATATTAGCATCATTTTTTTTTTCATATTTTTCAACAGTTAAAATGTTTAATTTCTTACTGTGGTATAGTTATTGTGTATTGAAACTAAATCAAAATCAAACATTCTGACTTTATACAAACAATCAGTTTCAAATACATTAAAGCACCATTAGAAATTATGTTTCATGGAAATGTTTGAAACTACTATTAATTGGTTCTTGTGCAAAGCCTCCCGTTTATAAATTCAGCTGTTTTTGACACTTCTATACTTTCAGTACAGAAAATCTGCTACTACAGTTCATATTAATGCCAAATTTGGCCCATGAGGCAGCTGATACTAAACCACAGACACCCAGTTTCTAAGGGAACTATAAAAACCAGTATATTCAGAAGATGCTGCAGGGAGCCTATAAAGTCAACTTCTAAGCAAGACAGAAATGTTGATTTGATGTCAATTGCCCACATGGGACCAAGGGAAAAAAACGAAGAGCAAGAATGGTATTGAAAAGTTCTATAATCACCTACTGTCAAATTAAGACTGGTATTACATGAAACCCTTGATGCCATCAGCTCTCTGCCCTAATCTCCTCCCTAGCAGTTCCTTTTGTGAATCAAGGCTTGAATATGCACCCAGAAATATGTCTGTAGCCATATCCAATTTCAATTTAAGTTAATATTCTGGTTTAAGTCTGAATTTAAACTGATGAAGGTCAGGAGAGGACACACTCCCATTCATCCATCCTTGCTGCAAAGTTATTAGCCTCCAAGCAAGGAAACGAAGCAGGTACATGAGGATAGCTCACTTTACTTCACTCAGGTGCCAAAGCCATACACGTATGGAGGTGGACATATACACATGCAGGGTTAAAGAGTAACATCAGTTTGAAGTATCTTGTGTTCCTGTGAAAGGAGGATGCCAGCAGAGTGGACATCTGTCTAAGCACATATGGGATGGGATCCGTGCCCCAATCCACATGTGGAAGTAAGCCACAGATTACTTGGTGCTTTTAGGGGATTGCTGTATCCTTTGGCCAAAACCCCTTTCTATATTGCACTGGTGCACAAAGAGTCTTTTAGACAGACCTTTAAACTAATGACCTGAAACCAGCATAAAAGTTAAGTTTGCACCCTGTCATTAGCATGTGCCTCTGCCCCGTGTCCCCTGGCTGTGATAGCCGTGTAGGCTCTGCAGAGATGGCTGGGTGCAGGCAGGCATGTGTTTGCTCTGAGCCAGCTGAGCCCTCCCTTATCTCTGTCTGCTGCCTTGGTGAAGCTTCTCTTCACGCTACTCTTCACCCGAATATCAATGAGTGAAAACAAGGCATTGCCAGTGTTTTGGAGGGGAGAGACGGGGCCAACTCACAGCTCTTTCTCTTTCTCCCTCTCTGTCTGTCTCTTTGTACCACACCTCCCCCAGCCTTTTCTTATGTATTACCAGGTTTAAAGCACAAACTGTACCCTGTGGCAAGTGTCTGACTGCAGACAGTTTTCTCAGTGCCCTCTCTTCAGATTGTGTAATCCAAGCCCAGAAACACTTCTCTGTTTATACTAAACTAACCCTCACCTGTGGGCAAAGCTCTCCCTGTTGCCCAGCCCCAGCTGTGATGTACTCACAGTTCACAGTGACCCGGACTTGCTTGACGTCTGCTGAGGCAACTTCATTGGCAGCTTTGCACTCGTACTTGCCCGACTGCTCTCGTGTGATCCCCAGGATCTCCAGGTACTCCTCCTCACCTTCAAACTCTCTGCCTGGTAGGACAGAGAAATACAGAGAGTGGTTCTGTTAGACTTTCAGATTTAGGAAATTGTCATGGAGGAACAATCACAACATGGAGTCTGCAAATAAGCAACAGTCATGAGCCGTTTAAAACTTCAGAAGCCGCTGAAAACTGAAAATCTGGCAGGCACCATACAGGTGGTACAATACATAGCATCTCACAGGCTGCCCAGGCTGAGAAGCAAAATCTCCACCATGTAGGATCAGACTAAGTTCACTAGTGTGATGGCTGAGTACCACCAGAGGTTAGTCACACTGTGGATGATGTGCTGGATCAGGGCTAGCTGGGTCCTCAGATGTGTTGTCAGCACCCTTTCCTCCACTGCAAAACTGTGAAAAATATCTTTCTGTCTCCCAGAGCAACCACCACCCTGAAGTGCCATCGATCAGATCAAGCTACCGTTAAACACGGCCAAACTGAGAGAAACAAACTGCAATTTGATCTGCAGAGACCAATAATCATCACGCATCCCTGAGCTACTGTACATATGAAATGACACATTTAAACTGTGCTGCCTCACTTACACACTTTGGAAAACAGTGACTTGAGTGTCAGTCGGGGTTGTGGATGGGGCAGCCATCGGGGGAGGTGTGTGGCCTTGCTTTTAATTCACTGTGTGACCTCGAGTGAGTCACCCCTTTGCTCTCCCTCTGTAAACTGCAGCAAATAGCCCCCCCTCTCCCACCACCTCTGGTTAGAGCAGGGCAGTGAGGTTAACCCATGTAAAACACATTGGATTCATTGCATGAAAGTTGCCAGGGAAGCATGAAATATTAGGATTGGTACATCTACCCTATTTCTTCAGAAAGCAAAGTAAGGCATCTCCTGGAAAGAATCTGAAGCACATTTCCTCCTCTCAGAAGGCTGTAAGCACTGCTCTGCAGCATTAGAAATGGCAAGCCCCAGTTGTGTGCCTGTGTATGTTTAGAGAAATCAGCCCCCAACCCTAAAAGGGTAAAAGACAGATTTGAGAAAAAAAAAAAAAAAAAAAAAAAGGAAAAGGTCAGATCAAAAGAGCTCCCATTCAGGTTCCTCAGAGAGTGGTCAGATTTTCTAAAAAACTCTTTGCTTAGAAGGTATTTTCTGCTCAACAGGTGCTGAGCACTTCTGAAACCCTGCCCACTTCACAAAAGTGCAGTTTTTGAGAGTTCAAATAGTGCCTACTCTTCACCTTGGTTTATGGCACTGCATGAAAGCAGTGGGTAAGTCTGGTCTCTGGAGCTGAACTTCCCTCTCAGGAGCCACCTGCAACAAATCCCACCCCAGAGGCACAGACTTACTGCAGTGTCTTGGCCAGGTCAGCCTGGCCACACACACTGGTGATGCCAGTTGCGTGCAGTTCCCTTCAGCATCAGAGAGGAACTTCAGAAGCTTCAAAATCTGCTCAGAAGTCTGTCCCTTACATAATTTTTTTTTTTTTTCTTTTTTTTTTTTTTCCCCCACAGGCAATTTTCAGAATCATTCTAGGAGAAAACCAACCCCCGTCATGGAGACTCAGCATGAAAACAGCAGTGTACCTATTAAACTCATGTAAAGACAAGGGCTCCCTCCCTCTCTTTCAGCAGGGCTAATCAGCAGTCCCTTCTTCCAGCTCCTACCAGATGTTCAGGTAGCGAAAATCTCATTGCTATGTCTAGAATTTACAACTGCTTTGTTTTTTGCATTCCCCAACAGTCTGCTGCAGGACCTTCCTGCATGGCAGCAGCGTTCTGCACAGGGGAAGGAGGCAAAGTTGGCTCCTGCTGCCAGGACATGGCTCTCAGTCCTCTGCTCTGCACTGGGCTAATGCTGTCATGAGTCAGTGGAGAAGGAAGTAGTGTGGGATTTTCACAGGTGTTTTTTATTGCTGGAACTCATGTATATATTAGGGACTCCTAACCCCAGTAGAACCAGAATTAGGTGAGTCTCAGAAAAGCGGAAGGAACTTCAGTCACCATCTAATCCATTCCCCAATCTCAAGCAGGACACATGAGTCATGTCATGGACACAGCCATCCTCTGCCCTCCAGGAGCAGAGATTCTGCAGCCACTCCTGACAATCTGTTCCTGTGCTGTGCTGTCCTTACCACTTGAGCAGTTTCCTGAAGTTTGACCTGAGTCTCCCTTGCTGCAATTTAAAGCTATTACTTTTGTCTTAGCCACTACAGACAAAAAGAACAAATCATTCCCTCCTTCTCTACAATAGCCTTTTATCAACTTTTAAATCACTTAGTTCCTCCCTCGGTTGTCATCTTTTTTTTTTTTTTTTTTTTTTTTTGCTGAACATTGCCAGGGTCTTTCAACCTTCCTCTGTAGGTGAGACAATTTTAGGCTCTTGATCATTCTTGTTCTTTGCTTTTAGACCTCTCTGACAAGTTTATATTTTTCTGGATGTGTGATACCCCAAACTGAACACAGCATTTCAGATGAGATGTTATCGTGGCTGAACACAGATGGAGGATTGCATTGCAACTACTGCACCACACTGCTGTTTGTAGATGCAGCACATTGTTTCTGGTTTTGCTACAACAGGGATAATTTCTGTTGGGGAACTCTCTTAATTCCCAGATTTTCATATTGTTCATATTGCTCATATTGTTCATATTGTTCATATTGCTACCTGCTAATAAAGCACTTTAAAAATCCCACCCCCAAACTGAGCTGACAACCAACACTCCTTTCACAGCAGCACTCCCAGTTGGTAGGTCAGTGAGTTGACTGGAAAGTTAATCAGACATCAGGGAAAGACTCACAAAGAAAAGGTTAAAATATAATTTGCCTCTGTTTTGCAACTCATTTGCTCTGCAATTCTGCCTTGTTTATGCACAGGGTTCATTCCAAGTGGGACTTGCTTCTCCTGCAATTTGCCCTTGTCACAAGACTGTCACTGTAATGAAGACAAGGTTGAGGGTGACTTAACCAGCTCTTAATAGAGTGGCACCCTCATTACGGGTGCTGTTAAGTCTGTCAGAGAACTACATCAGTGGAGCTCCAAAGTAACCTACAAGGGTAGATGCTTTCCCAAGGGAAGATGTTCTTGAGCTTCTCCCCTGAAAAAAATACATACACTTGGAGTGTACTGTGTACCATGTCCAGCAGGAGAGCTTTTACAGCTACACTGGACCCCTCCCAAGACATGAGGAGCTGCTGGCTTGCCCAGTGGAGTGCCCTGGAATTAAGTGAAAAGCACAGCTTCTGTTCTAAAAGCCATGTCAAAGACATCAATAACCCTATTCAGCTCCTCATTCTCCTGCTCTAGGACACACATGTGTAAGCATAACACTTCAGGGAAAGTTTCTGTGACAGTCTCTTGCTGTATAAGTGGTAGCACTGTTCTTGTCTCTGCAATGCTGACCCTGAGCATCAACATTTTGCTACAAGAACTGATCTGCTCTCAATTTTCAAGACAGACCCTTTTACTTGCTGCCTTGTCCCCTCTAAGAGCACATTAACCATTTCTAACAAAAGGCATTTATATAAAATTGAGGTGTTGTAGTACAGAGCAGCAAGAGGAAAGATGTATCACAATGTGTTAGAGAAATGTCAGGATGTGATATCTTGCAGAGAGCTGTAGAGATGTTTTCACTAATTCACTTTGGCAGCCAGATTAGGTGAGTCATATTAACTCTAACCTCTAAGGCAAACAGGGGGTGGGGGGAGTAGGAACAGAACTTTATACATTGAGTGAATTTACAAATGTTTCTGCATAGGAGCCAGCTTTGGTAGGGAACTGATGGTTGTCACTGTGCAGTTTATCAAAGCAGGGAGGGAGAAGGTTTGGACAATGCTCTTTGGTACTGATAGCAATGAACATATTCTGTTAGGTGAAAGAGGGACTGCCAACTCCTGGCAAGAGAGCCACTCCAATCCCATTAAGAGAAGACATTTGCCTTCAGCAGATTATCAAGGGATGAAATTCTGACCATACTGCCAAAGCTTCCTTGCTGACAAGGGTTGTGTCCTGCTGTTCTGCCTGGTTCTGTACACTCCTTTCCCTGTGAGGATCCTTTCAGATTCCCCTAGGTGGATGACTTCTCACTCAGTGCAGTTCTTTGCATCCTAAACCACCCCCTTGCATGACTGTAGGCAACCTGCTTCCCTGCAGGATTTTTGTCTTTCACATGTTCATAGTTAGCTTGGCTTGTTGATACAGCCCCATTAAACACCATCTTGCCAAGCTTTAGCTCCTTAACTCTGTCCCAGTGAATCAGAAAGAGCAGCTTTCTGCTCTGGAGGCTGGAGATAGAGAGAGCACGAGCCCAGGAGGCTTGACAATCAAACCAAGAGGGAATGACCCTGAGCACTGCGAGCCAGGCGGCTGCTGCTGCTCGGAGCTGGCAGAACCTTTTTTGCAGAGGGATCTGCAGTAACAGCTTTGATGTGTGCAGGAGGAAGGCTTTGAAGGCCTGCTTGCCTCAGCCACATTTCCTATCCCCTGGCTTCCTAATTGGACCCAGTAAATAATGAAGCTGAACAGCAAATCTGCTTGGCTATGCTAGCCTGCTGGCAAGCATCCTTCCTTTTCCCTTACCCTCTGGAAATAGCCTTGTACAACCCCATTGGCTCTGCATATTGTCCTTGCTGGTGTGCACACCTGCCTGTGCTTTCATATAGATTTTTTATATATATATATATATATACACACATATATATACATATATATATATATACACATACATATATATATATATTTATATATATACATACACACACACATATATACATATATATATATAAATATTATATATATATATATATATATATATATATAAAATACGTGTTCTGTATTTTATATACTGTGTATTTACACATCTATAAATCCACCTGTGTGTGCAGAAACACAGACTGACATCATGTTCCCCAGGCATTTATGGGCCCTTCTCACCTCTACCCAAATGTCCCCTTGCACTGCCACACACCATTACTCTTTCCTCAAAGGCTGAATGCTATCTTTCTACAAATGACCCACACCCAGTCAAAATCCCACTTGTAC